CTTCAGAAACTACTCATAAGGTGGAAACAGAGGGACCATCACCTTAAAAACTGCATTGAAATTCTGCGCACTTCCCACGCCTATTATCGGCGCCGCAGCGGGAATGTCTCGTGGGTCACCGAGTCTTTTCTTTTCAGCCCTTTTGGTGCTTACAGTTTAGCGATTACTTACTATAGTCAGTTAGAACCTAAGAATAAATACACGCTTCACACCCAGTGCTGCAGCGTGCATGTTATTCACCTGTGCAGCAAAGCAATGATTGATGATTTCTGTTCTAATCATAATCACTTTCTGGCTGATAATGCAAATACAGTGCAGTCCACTTATAACGATATCGAGAAAACCTAAAAATATGATCGTTATAACCGGTGATCGTTATATCTGGACTGCCGCCAAAAAATCGTCGCCGGACGTACGTTTTGTAGCTCCAGGCTTCATTTTGCTATTTTCACCAATTAATAAATATTGTAGATAGTAGGATGTCAAAAACAAGACTTATTTCTTACTCCGAAGAACGCATCACGGGTTCGCTGAGGAAGAGAGACTGACCGACGGCGGGGTGGGAGCAGTGGGAGGAAGAAAGCACAGCCAGAGGTACACAGCCGGAATGCCAACGAGGCCCCGCCCCCATGCCGCCGCGCCGCTTTGCTTTTCGCTTTTTTTATTTTCTCTCTCTTTCCCGCTTTCGTTCGGCAAGCTACGAGTAGCTTGCCGGCTTGCCGTTGTAGAAGGCGGGGAGCCGCGGAGCGCGGCGCTTTGCTTTTCGCATTTTTTTTTTTAAATTCTCTCAGCCTCTCCGCGGTCGACGCGCGGCGAGGCGCAAAACGTGACACAGCTGGCGCCATCTGTAGCGCGTCGCGCCAACTCGCGATGCTCTCCTCGGCTTTTTGAACGGCCGGGACGCGCTGCCGGCGCTGTCCTGCAGTGGCGGCAGATAGGTACTCGCCTACGCTAACTTTTCGTCTTGTCTCGGCATAGTTCGTTTCAGAAGAACTTATCAATCTAAATGTTACGATTATTCTGAATGAAACATGCCGTCCACGGCAAACTTTTCATCGTTGTATCCGATATGCGGTGGATAACATATCGTTATATATGGTTTTTTTCCCCATAGCCCCAATGCATAAAATGAGACTGTTAAGTCGACCCATCGTTATAACCGATATATCGTTATATGTGGTATCGTTATAAGTGGACTGCACTGTAGTACACATATTATGAATAAAAAGTTTGTCGTTTCTGGTTAAAATGCTACGTTTGCCTGAGCAGTGAAGTCGAAATTTTCAATTAACTTTGTCAAGAAGTAAAATTTTTTCACCGAAAACTATCGAAATAAACACATGCCTGTACTGCCAAGTCATACGACTCAAATACATGAAAGGTCATGACATCACGTAAATAAGCAACTGTAGTGGACATACACTCAAACCTCGTTATAACGAAGTTGAAGGGGAGCCACAATTATTTTGTTATATCAATTATAACAGTTTGTGGCAATGTATGCTCAGATGGGCACACACTTATAAGCATGCAAAGAAGAAAACCACCTCGCGGCCCGATGTAGCGCTGCGCGACCACGCGTGTGACGGAAAATAAGCAGTCAAATTTCATTAATTCGAACACGCTTAATTCGAACTTCCGGTTAATTCAAACTCATGCTGCGGTCCCCTCAAAGCTATGTGTATTCCAATGGGCGAAAACGCCCTGTAATCCAAACGCGCAAGCACTTGCGACAGTTAATTCGAACATACCGTGCTCTAAAAATGCTCTCAGCAGCTTGCCCAATCCTGCGGCGGCACCTCTCAACGCTGAACGCGAAGAAGGAAAAAAAGAAAAGAAGAAACTGTGGCAGATTGTGGCGATCTGCGGCGCACTTGTGCCACGCTTCTCCCTTTTCTGTCTCTACATGTAGAGACCCTTCTCCTTTCAAGGCCGCGCGCGCAGAGAGAGAGAAAAAAAAAGCTGTCACGGAGAGTCCTCCTTTTTCGGTGCAGAGGGTAGCAGCGGAGACGCAGTCGTTGCCATCGTCTTTAGAGAGTGTTGGCATTAGACTTGGCTGCGCGCTACTAGGCTTTGCAAGCTATATGACGATAGTTATAGCGCGAGAATAGACCGATGACAAAGAAACAAGAAGGACACTCTTTGACGTCATTCTGTTCTCGTGCTGTAGCTATTGTCATGTCATATCAACTAGCCCAAACTGCCACACTTCTAAGTTGCAAACTATGTGCAAAATTCATTGACTCGCTGCAAGGCAAACACGTACAGACACCCATCACCGATTACTTCAATTAATGATGAATGACCTCTGATTTGTGAATAAATTTAAGTATTCTGAAGCTTCCCCATCATGTGTTCTTATAAGTGAGAGGGAAATCGCTTTGCACCGCGGCGCCGCTTTTCGGTAATGTGACCCACTGAGCGCTTCCTCAATCCTCTACGCTGGCTGTCTAAGGAGGAGGGCTCTCTCGGCCGCGCTGGCTGTAAGGTCAGCGCGAGAATTTTTAAAAAGCCGCGCCAAACGAGCATCAAACTCTGCAGAAAACGATATGCTTAACACACTACGGTTGGTTTTTTTTTTTCGATAGACTAATTTAGTTTGTTATATCTATTTACCGGTCAATTTTACTTCGTTACATCGAGGTTTAAGATGCATGGTTCTCAATGGAGCTTTCAAAGAGAATTTCATTTACTTTGTTACATCCCATTACGTTATAACGAGGTTTGAGTGTATATTAAAATTCTGCCTTAGAGACCACTGTGGGCAGAGCTTACATTTATTCTTAGGCTGTACAGAACTGACTACAGGGCCTTTACACTTCTGAAGCATTGCTGTGTTTTGCCTGTGTACTGCAACGAACAGCAATATCTTGTGAACTGAGCAAATGTATATGCAGCATACACTGCTGCAGAACCTAACACACCTGTATGGCTGCGAAACATTGCTGACACTAGACGGCACTGTCAACGCCACTGTAGCCTCCTTATGATATTTGGGTATAACAGACTGTATGAGATCACACTACGAGTCATGTAGCACTGTGAAATTGAAAATTACAGTGTTCTTTTCAAGAGTTCTCAGACCGCATCTTTTTGTGTATCTCAGATATGTACAGTACGGTGCACTGTTAGGGGGAACACGCGAACGCGTAGCTGCGGCCCGCGTGGCCCGAACTTGTGGCTAGATTTATAAACGTGGCGCACGTGCATAAAAGCGCAAAGGCAGTGCTTGTCGGGTTTAGTCTGCTACTTTCCACCACTGCGCTCGTCGGGTTTCGTCTGATATTTTATGGCCCATCGCTTGCCGAGTGCTTTCGTTTTTCCGCAGAGCGATGCATCTCGCCGCTAGTCAGCCGGCGCCCCGTCACGTAGTCAAGTCAGCAGGCACACAAAAGGTCAAGCTTGTTTCTTGCTGTGGTATCTTACCAGTTCTGAAACAATGCGATTCACACCTACAGCGGTGGAATTTCGATTAAAGGGGATACACCATGAAAAGCGATTATATTTAGAAGCATGTTAATAAACACCTAATAATAATAAATGTTGGGGTTTAGCATCGCAGAACAGCGGTATGATTATGAGCGACGCAGTGAAAGGCTGCAGAAATTTCAACCATGTGTGGGGTTTAAATCAAAGTACTCGGGCCTCAAATATTACAGCCTCCATCGATAACGCGGCTGCCACGGCTGGGATTTGATCCTGTGCTGTAGGTCAGCAGTCGAACACCGTAACCACTATACTTGTGGATGTAATGTCTTCAAAGAATGAATACGGGGTCATCCCTAATGATGTTCAGGCTCCGGCTTGCTTCATCCCGGCAAATGTTAGTGTTAACGTTCCAAATCGTGCGAGTTTTTGAATATTGATAACATACACTTTTATGAAAAGTACTGCGCTTTCCCATTGTGTTCCCGCATGAAAAACAAAGGGCGTAAAATTATACATTGCAGTAAGCACAAAAGAGAAAATTTATTCTTCATATTTTTGTGACAAAAGATGAACCAGGCTAGATCTATGGTCTCTTAACGTTAGAAGAATGAAACGTGTCGTTCAGTATCGGGTGATATCACCTCCAGAGTCGAGTTTGGCCTTCATCGAGTTTGGCCACAGATTTGAATTTGACGCAGAGAATTAGAGATGATTTCATCCTGCCCCACACATTTTCAACTACGTTCAAGTCAGGTGAATGGAGTCGGGAGGGGGGGGGGGGGGCACATGAGCACCATTACGGTCTTCAATGGCCTGTTTACCACGACAGCGACAGCACGCTGATTGTATTCTTTACTGTAGAGCTCGACTATGAAAAGCCATTCATCCTCAGGTGCCCTGGCCATGCCACATATAGGAACTGGCACAACCGAAAATTTGTTGAGCATAGAATAATGCCCCCAGCTGTGGAATTCTGTGAAAGCGATGACAAAGCCTCTCACTTGCGTAACTTATAATGGCAGTGTTCACCGAAATATTAGTCGTAAGCTTTGCACAACGCTCGAACCAGCCGGCTGCCTTGGATAACAGACAAGGTAACATAGCATGGCTTCAGCGCGCGCCGAGCGCTAAGGCGGAGAAGTAGCAGACGACGCAGGGCACGAACCGCTCTTGCGATTTTGTGCGCAGGCTCCGCGTTTCCAAATCTCGCCAGCAGTTAGCGCCCCGTGGACCGCCGGCTACGCGCTCGCGTGTTCCCTCTATCAGTGGAGCATACTGTACATGTCAGGGAGACAATCCTTCACATGCTCCTCAACTTTAAGCATCTTTCCCACTCTACTAAGTGAGCATGGCATCATCTTTTAACTGAGGACAATGCTATGCCAGCTATGCTTTCCAAGAATCTTTGTGAAACGACAATGCGGTGAAGCTATCACGTTTGCCAAGAAATGGTGCTAATGTTCAAGCTCCTGAACCGACGTTGAGTACTGAGCAAAGGAACACCCCAAAATACAGGAAAACAACGACTAGATCGATGAAATTAGCAAATAGAAGAAAGAAAGCAATCTTACCATGGGAATGACTCCCCAACAGCTTCCCAGTCAACTTCAGATGACCTCCTGGCATTGAGCCCATGCATTCTGCAAGCATCAAGTGTTCAGTAAATCTTCAGCTTACAACAGCAGATACTTTTTCCTATTCTGTGTACAAAAGCAAGAATGGGCTAGAGACACTACAATGGATGATGCCTCTCAATAACCCTGCCTTTGTCGTTAGTAGACAGCACAGTAAAAACATACAGTCACCGGCCAGCCTGATTTACCACTCAAAATCCAGCAAAACCACACTCACTATGCACAGACCAATTCCCAAGCTTTCAATTAAATAAATAACGATGCACATAAACAAATCAGTGTGGCTACAGAAGACATTTCTGATCCAGTCTGACAATAGTGATCGTTCTCGCTGTCCACCATTAGTTGGAAAGTTGAACAATGTCTCTGGCCCTTGTATTGTAGAGTGCACATTAGTGCGTGCATCGCTTTGCCAGTATTGGCAATCACTTTGTGATTAAAAAATGTCACAGTGACTGAGTCTTTCAGAGAAAAAAAATATTGAAGCTTACAATCCTTCAGGAAATTTCATGAAGCATAATGAAAAATTCAGTCACACATTCTGAATGAAGAGCTAAATTCCTTTCCCTTCTATGAAAGTGCTAAATAGCTTGGAATGAAGGAAAGAATAGTAAACTTTTAAGCAATCATTTTCTTTATTACATATAATAATAATGATAACTAACCTACAATGATGCCAAGGAAGGTAGAGGGAATGTTATTAGTAATAAATTCTAAACTTGAAGAGAGAAAAGTGGACGAAAGAATAACTTACCCCCATCAGAGACTGAACCTGTGACCTTAGGATAACGTGTCCGATGCTCTACCAACTCAGCTACAGTGGCGGTCATCCCTCTGTCTACTTTATAAGGTTCATTTAAACGTGGCAGTGTAGCGCCTCCGCTGTAGCTCAGTTGGTAGAGCATTGGACGCATTATTTGCAGGTCGCAGGTTCGGCACTTGCTGGCAGCAAGTTATCTTTTTGTTTGTCCACTTTTCTTTCTGCACAGCTACATTGCAATTACTACAAATACATCCCCTATATGTGAAACTGCTGGGAAGTATCGCATGACTGCTCGCGTGTTATTACTTCTTGTAAAACAAATTTAACTGCGGCTCTAAGGATAAATAAGAATGCTGAAGAGTGCAGTCTTCAAACAATGGCACACCCTATGCCAGAAACACGTACTATGCATTGATTCTGTAAATCATGTTCAATTGGTGCACTTCGATGTTCTTATATGCCTGCTCTGCCCTTCAGATTTATTTGTAGTGCTCCCACAAATAACCAAGCACCTTATTTCAAAGGAATGTTCCTTTTATAACCAAATAATTTTTTATTAATTTTTTTTCAGGCAGGCATTCGATGCCTGTCTGTTCATGAACTGTATAACCAGAGCCATAAAAAGAAAAAGCTCCTGCTATCACAATTGCAATGGTACTTGTGATTCAGCAGTGAAAGAGAATAGCACCAGTGACCATGTTCTTGAGCTACTTATGCTGCTGCTTTCTATTTTAAAGTCTAAAGCAGGTGTCTCAAACATGCAGCCCAAGAACCTTTTGCAAGCAGCCCGAGGCTTCAGAAGGAATAAAATCTAGTGACTTTGCTATATGGTATTCGCCTTGTTTTCTTGCCAACTGGCCGCGAGATCAAGCGGAGTCGCCGCCTGGTGGCAACTGGCTGAAGCACGCAAGTGTGGATTGCTTCACGCGTCGTCTGCTAGCCACGTTGCATGCCGTGTTTCTGTGTGCGTGTACGCCATCAACATTCTCAAAGGATAGTTTGTTCAGTTATCTCAGCGCAAGTGTAACTGCTTATACGTATGCCTGAAACCACGTTTGAAAGCATTTGTTCTTGCTCAGCTGCTAATACCTATACTGAGCCGGCTAGTGCAACTTTTCCGAGTGATGTATATTGTCGTCGCACGCTCCATTCACCAGAATAATTTCAGAGTGGGTACCGCTTCCTGCTTCAAACACATCGTAAAATGATCTTGGCATCCTTTCAAGCATGACGACTAATAAATGGTGTGTAAATGCAGCGTTTCAGCGACTAGGTCTAAAAAAAAAAGCTCTAGGCCTTACACTTGCGCTCTGTTGGGAGGTGTACAACTACAGCACTGTAGTTTATTGATTATGCGTGGAGCCTTCGTTCTGTTTGTCTGGCCGTGGTACCACTACAGATAAATATTACTATCACACAAACTGTGACACTTTGGTACTTAAACATTAAGCGGAGTTGCTATGCACAACCGTGTGCTTAGATTTAACAGCGCATTAGAAAGCCCAGACCTTCAAACTAATTAAGATGGCATGCGTTGCATTTAGAGCTGTATACTTTCACAAAAAATCTCATCTTTTTTACATTGTCATGAAGGTTTATTGGCATTATTATTGACAGCCGGAAAGCAGTGATCTATTTTCGTTTGAAAAAAAAAAAAGAAACATACTTGTCCCATAAAATAACCAGGCCTTTTTTTTTTTTTTGTAGCACTGTCATGAATGTAATCCATCGGTGAAACCTTTCTACTGAACTCTTATAAGGCATTTGCATGTGCACATACACGGTAAATGTAATGTAGCACAAAGTGCTGTCAGCCACTATGCTTTCCTGACTAGACTTATCGACTGTACCACATTTCATTGTGAGCAGAATGAAAAAGAAAATGCATGTGCATTTGAGTGCGAATGTTGGGATTCTTATTTCGATCTTTTTTTTTGTTGTATCCAGAAGAGAAAGAAGTAAATAACTAGTTCAGTCACGCTGCGACAGTGCGTAGTAGGCGGGACACAAGCTAAAGACGTACAAACAATAAATCAAAAACATGATTCAAAGCAAAAGCGCCCGGACAGTCACCCAGAGCGAGCATCCCTTTGAGAAGCAGAATGCGGTTTACTCGCTGGTAATGATAACATTGCATGGTCTTCATGCACCGCTTCAGTAGAAAGGAGCGTAGATATTACCAGTAAACTGCAGTCAATGCATTTCATTCGTCGAAAATTGGCTCGGACTGCACGCAACTAAGCACCGCTGCGTGTATTAGTATATGTGCCGCTGGCCACCTATCTACACTTCTGCCAGACAGTGCTGCCACCTATAGCCTGATCTCGCCACGAATACTGCGACTAACACTTTTATTGGGTAAGCTACAGAGACGACACTGGTCTCGGGCCTTTCTTTCTTGAGGAATCCTATGTGGCTACTGTGTGTTAAAGCTTTACTTAGAAAAAAAACCCTAGCTCAGAATTTTGATCATTCTGGAGATCGGTATCGAGACGCTTCTCGAAACCCACCCTCGCCTTGACATTGGTCACTGTTTTGACCCTTCCTGGACCAAATTTAATGACTGCAGCCTGCTAGAAAAGATAAGTTTGAGACCTTCCGGTCCAGAGTGTCTGTGTGGAAATTAATATTTCGTGGGTTGCCCTAAAAGCACTAACAGCAAACTTTCTGTAGCTGGCTTTTCAACTGCCGTACATTGCAGCTCTTGATGAGCTTTATAGAACCACATTCTTGCCCGTTTAAGGTGCATGCTGTCATTGCAATGAGTAGTTCGGTCAAGTCTACAATCTTACATGAGTGTGCACAGCATGCCGTTAATGTGGCTTGTCATCGCCCATGCAGCGGTAGTATCGAGGTTCGTTTTCATGTTGAGTGGCAGCCAATTTTTCACTTCTAAGAGCGAAGCTCTAGAAGATTGAGGTAAAGCATTGGGTGTCTGCGAAAAACCCTCCGTGCCGTTACTTATCACCCGTGCCCACCATTGGAGGCAGTTTGTGCAGTCGCCACGCTGATTTTGTTCATCGCACGGGCCGAGTACAAGTGATGAAAGGCCCATGCTTCTACCAAGGGTGCCACAGCCACCTTTGCACAACAGTTATGGAGCTAAAGTTCAGACATTCTTGCATGGTCTGTGACAATCTGTGGTCCGACTCTACTTTGTTTATGCCAAGGAAAGACAAAAAAAAAACTTGGCAGCACTAAGGAACAGTTGACGTAGTGAATATGCACAACCTCCAGCCAAAAATGCTCATTTTCAAAATGCTCTAATGAAATCATAAAGCAAAAAAACAACAGCTCATAAATCAATCAGCTATTAGAGTATTGACCTGACATTTGCAATAATTTGTGCCAGGTCACTATCAGGGTAATATAATGAAACATATGGACTGTACCAGTGTCGTTGCCACTGCCATCACAGCATGCTCCAGATTAAAATCTTATTATTATGAAAACTCATTAAAAATTAAATATTTTACATGCTAAGCTAGCAGTGCCAAGTCACATCATATTTTGTTGGCATTACAAAGAATAGGATGATAGCAAAACTGGATAAAGGAAATACATTGAGTGTATGGCATATATTAACTCTTTTGTTACCAAGTAAAAATGGCTATTTTTCATATGTCTCACGAATATTTTTCCCAGTTTGAAAAGCACTCCAAGACACATTGTAACATGCCAAATTTCACAAAATGTAATGCTCTTTCCTAATATATATCTTGTACAGCACCGATATTATTGAAGAAAATGAATAAAAATGTGAAAAGTGTGTAATTTGTGGTTGCCAGCTGGTAAACAGTGCAATAAAAAACAGTATAAATGCAAAAATATTCATAACAAAAAAAATTCAAAATATAAATTGGAGATAAATGACCCAGAAAGAGTATAAACAATATTAAAGCTTGTAGAAAATGTTTCTATTCAAATAGACAAAGAAAATCGGAATCGTGAAGCTGCTTCATTGCTCGTGCCATGCTGTGAAGCATTGCTTGTTTTTTTTTTTTTTTTTTTTTTGAGACACAAGCGAACTTGTACACCTTTCGCAGTAAATGTTTGTTTTTCTTTTTTTTGCGATAGAAGCCTTTACGTGTTGAAATATAGATGGATACCCGTAATGTGCATAGTACCTCTATAAACCAGATGTCCGATAAATTTAGCTATTTCGTGTAGCGAAACCTCTTTCCACGAGCCACCTCACTCTGCATAAGTTGGCGTTCCTCCGTATGCATGCAAACATATTTCT